CATTTTACAAATGAGCAAACCGAGGTCGAATGAGGCTGTGACTTGCCCAAGACCACACATGTAGTAAATGGTAGGCCAGGATTAAAATTCGAGTCCTTTGACTCCAAATCCAGTGGTTTCCCCACTATACTACACATGTATTTCTTTAAAAAATTTTGTCTTTCTTCAATTAGCAAGTATTGATTTTTCTCTCCCTACCATAGCCTCCAACCCTCTCCCTACAAAAACAACAAACAAACAAACAAAACAACAACAACAACAGAAAAACAAAACCCTTGAAACAAATATACACTGTCAAGCAAAACATCTTCCCACGTCGGCCATGTCCAAAAAGGTATATATCGTTCTGTATTTTGAATCTAGCAGCGCTTGGCCAGAAGGTGAATAGCAGAACTGAATTATGGTTGGTCATTATGTCAGAGTCGTTGTGTCTTTCCAAGCTGATTGTTATTACAATGAACTGCCAGGTGGCACAGTCGGTGGAGCACTGGGCTGGGAACCAGGAAGACTCGTCTTCTTAATTTCAAATCCAGCCTCAGACACGAGCTTTGTGACCTTGGGCAAGTCACTTAACCCTGTCTGGCTCAGTTCCTTACCTGTCAAATGAACTGAAGAAGGAAATGGTTAACCACTCCAGTATCTTTGCCAAGAAAACCCCACACGGGGTCGTAAAGAGTCAGTCATGACTAAACAACAACAAAAATCATTACAATATTGTTGTCATGGCTCTGTTCTCTTTTCTAATTGGGGAAAAGCCATTATACACAGTAGAAGGAAAAGTCATTAACTTAAACTCTGTGAAAAGTAGAAGTTGGGACAAAATGATCTGTTAAACAATCATAACTTAGATACTAAGTCATAACTTAGATACTGTGACCGGTACATGACCAGCACCCAACCTTGTGTGCCTGGGCATTTACCCAACAGCACTGGGTAAATGCCTGGATATCTGGGAACTGGGGTCAATGCTAAGTATAAACTAAACTATTAGCCAAAATATTAACTAAGCAGCAAACCCCAAAATATCCACCAATTCGCAGTGAAGCACCCTATGGTTCCTCCTCCCTTTGTCTGATTTCTGTAATTATCATTTTGGAGATCTTCATGGGCATCCAATTCGTAGTCTGGCTACCATCCCAAACTGATGACTATCAAACTATTGGCAGGGATCCATCGTATTGCCCCAATGTAAGGACTCAATTTATTAAACTACTACATGTAATCCATCAGGAGCTCCTTGGACTCTTCCTTTGGTATCAAACTTGTCCCCTATTTTGGGAATGAGGTACAGAGTTCCCTAGGTGGGAGAATTCCAGACTTTATAGCAGGTTTCTCTGAAATTGTCCTTTTATCATTCCATTTGGCAAGATAATATTCCATTATATTCATATACCATAATTTGGTATTCCTTAATAGATGGGCATCCCCTTATTCTCCAGTTCTTTGTTACCACAAAAAGAGCTGCTATAAATATTTTTGTACATATGAGTCCTTTTCTGTCCTTCATTTTTTTTGGTGAGGCAATCGGGGGTAAGTGACTTGTTCAAGGTCACACAGCTAGGAAGTGTCAAGTGTCTGATGTCAGATTTGAACTCAGGTCCTCCTGACTCTAGGGCCAGTGGTCTATCCACCATACCACCTAGCCACTCTGAGCGTATATAGTCTTAATAGTAGCATTGCTAGGTTAAAGGGCATACACAGTTTAATGATCTTTTGAGGATAATTCCAAAGTACTTTGCAGAATGGCTGGATTGTTTCTAGGTCTATTGACATGTGTTCATACTCCGAGTTTCTCCTAGATTCTTTTGGGATCATAGTGCTCAGGGGAGTGAGGGTGATCTGAGGCAAGTGATGTGATATCTTTCCATCAATAATGAACCTTATGTCCAAAATATCAAGGGGATTAATGAAAAGAAATATAAGGGAAGGTGGCCTAGCTGTATCAGATCTTAAATTGTGTTATCAAGCGGCAATCATCAAAACTGCTTGGTACTGGCTAAGAAATAGAGTGGTGGATCAGCGGAATAGATTATTCACGAAAGACACAATAGTCAATGATTATAGTCATCTACTGTTTGATAAATCCAAAGACTCCTTCTTCTGGGATAAGAATTCACTGTTTAACAAAAACGACTGGGAAAACTGGAAAATAGTACGGCAGAGACTATGCATAGACCAGCATCTTATGCCCTTCACCAAGATAAAGTCAAAATTGGTGCATGATTTAGATATAAAGGCTGATACTATGAGCAAACTAGAAGAGCAAGAAATAGTTTACCTGTCAGATCTCTAGAGGAGGGAAGAATTTATGACCAAACAAGAGATATTATAAAGAGACATTATAAAATGCAAAATGGATGATTTTGATTACATTAAATTGAAACGTTTTTGCACAAACAAAGCCAAAGCAACCAAGATTAGAAGGGAAGCAGAAAGCTGGGAAACAATTTTTACAGCCAGTGTCTGATAAAGGCCTCATTTCTAAAATATATAGAGAACTGAGTCAAATGTATAAGAATACAAGTCATTCCCCAATTGATAAATGGTCAAAGGATATGAACAGACAATTTCTTCAGATGAAGAAATTAAAGCTATCTATAGTCATATGAAAAAATGCTCTAAATCACTACTGATTAGAGAAATGCAAATCAAAACAACTCTGAGGTACCACATCACACCTATCAGATTGGCTAACATGACAAAACAGGAAAATGATAAATGTTGGAGAAGATGTGGGAAAATTGGAATACTAATGCATTGTTGGTGGAGTTGTGAATTAATCCAACCATTCTGGAGAGCAATTTGGAACTATACCCAAAGGACTATAAAACTGTGCATACCCTTTGACCCAGCAATACCACTCCTAGGTCTGTATTCCACAGAGATCATAAAAATGGGAGAAGGACCCACATGTACAAAAATATTTATAGCAGCTCTTTTTGTGGTGGCCAAGAACTGGAAATTGAGGGGATGCCCATCAACTGGGGAATGGCTGAACAAGTTGTGGTATATGAATGTCATGGAATACTACTATGCAATAAGAAATGATGAACAAGAAGATTTTAGAAAAACCTGGAAAAACTGTATGGACTGATGCTGAGAGAAGTGAGCAGAACCAGGAGAACATTGTACACAGTAACAGCCACATTGTGCAATGACTAACATTGATAGACTTAGCCCTTCTCAGCAATGCAAGGATCTAAGATATCTCCAAACGTCTCATGATGGAAAATGCTATCCACATCCAAAGAAAGAACTATGGAGTCTGAATGCAAATCGAAGTATACTATTTGATCTTTTTTTTCTTTTGTTGCTTTGTTTTGTTTCTTCTTTCTTGTGGTTCCTCCCATTGGTTCTAATACTTCTTTACAACATGACTCATGTGAAAATATGTTTAATAGGAATGTATTAAAGAGCCTATGTCAGATTGCATGTCGTCTTGGGGAGGGGAGGGAACTGAAGAAAGTTGAAAACTCAAAAGCTTATGAAAGTGAATGCTGAAAACTAAAAAACAAACAAACAAACAAATAAACATATAGTGAACTTTATGTTATACTTTTAAACATGGTATAGATTCTAGTACAACACACTCAGGTATATATAAAAATGGACTAACTCAGTAGGTAGTTCATCTAACTGCATACCATAATCTGGATAATATGCATTCTTTTTAAAAAAATTTTTTAGCAAGGCGATCAAGGCTAAGTGACTTGCCCAAGGGTCACACAGCTAATAAAAGTCGAGTGTCTGAGGCCAAATTTGAACTCAAATCCTCCTGACTTGAGGGCTGGTGCTCTATCCGCTGTACCACTTAGCTGCCCCAACATGCATTCTTTATCCACTTTTTTCATGTGTGTATACTAGGCTTTCTTTGAGTGGTCATGGACCTTGTTGTGGTGACCCTGTAGCATTCTGCAACTCAGTACAACTAACACAATACCCTCTGAAAATATAAATTAATTTTCTGGATAAGGCCGTTCTAGGTTATTTGGGCCTCCTTCTTGTAGCAATTGCTTCATGTTGCTTAAATTGAATTCCTTAATCATCAAGAAAATGTATGGCTTTGGAGTCAGAAGACGTGGGTTTAATACCTGGCTCTGTTCCTTAGGAACTGTGTGACCTTGAGCTAGTCATTTAATTCCTCTGGGCCTCAGTTTCCCCATTTGTAAAATGAGAGGGTTGGCCTAGATGATCTCTATAAGCTTCCCTCTAATCCTTGATCCTAAGGGTCTATGAAATAATGTTTCTTGAAGCTAACTCTTTTAATTGTTTTCCTTTGTAGAGTGTGTGGGCCATCATTATCTGTAACTTTCTTATATTTTCTGGTTTCATTTATAATGAAGACGCCAATATTGAAGAGGCTAAGTTCTTTTAGTACTGTAACAACTATGTAGTTGAATAATAATTTCACATTAAGACCACTAACATCTGGAGAAGAGAAAATGCACCTTCCTTCCTTCTTTGTTAGAGGTGAGATGTGATATATTGCATGTGCTGTCAGACACAGTGATATATTTTTGAGTTTGGTTGAGCCACCTTTTCCCTGTGTTTTTTTTATGCTTCATTAAAAGAGATGGCACATTGGAGAGGAGAGGGAACAGGGATATATTTGGAAATGAGTGGCTAGGTGGCCTAGTGGATAGCATGCCCAGCCTTGTGTGAGGAAGACTGAGTTCAAATCTAGCCTCAGACACTTAGTAGCTCTGTGTCCCTGGGCAAGTCCCTTAAGCTTTGTTTGCTTCAATTTCCTGAATTGTAAAATGGGGGTAATACTAGCACCTATCTCCCAGGGTTGTTGTGAGGATTGAAAGAAATGGTATTTGCAAAGCACTTAGCACAGTGCCTGGCACATAGTAAATGCTATATAAATGCTGGCTAATATGAATGTAAAAACAATGGAAATCAATAATTAAAAAGACTATTGACACTGAAATGAATGTTTATAGCTGATCTAAAAATGTGTTAGCCCTCTCAACCCCTTTCTCTGTTGTTTTTTCCAGGAATGAGGACTATTCTTTATTTTCATATTTTCCATGGATTCTCCTGGGGATTCATCATCTAGTTTCCAGCCTCCTGGCAGTGACCCTCTCCATATTTATTGAAGCTGGACCACACACACCACAGTCTTTCACTCAAACTTGTAGTCAAAGTATTCCAACTTTATAGAACTTTTTTGAGTTTATGTTCCTCAGGAATAGTCTTTGAGAATCCAGGTTCCCATCTATGGAGGCAAATAACTTTAATACAGACTATTATATGATAAGTGCATAAAACATGCACAAACAAAACATGACATGAATTTGAGGCAGCTAGGTGGTACAGTAGTTAAAGTGTTAGCCCTGGAGTCAGGGAGACCTGAGTTCAAATCCTGCCCTAAATACTTATTGGCTATATGACCAAGACCAAGTCACTTGACTTCTCAGTTCCCTCATCTGCAAAATGGAGATAATGATAGCATCTTTCTCACAGAGTGGTTGTGAAAATCAAATAAAAAATCATATATGAGTGCTTCATAAACCTTAAAATGCCATATAAATGCCGTCTTTTATTATTCAGGTAGGAAAGGTCATTATCAGTAGGAAAAAATCAGGTAAGGCTTCCTGGAGGAGGTAAAATTTGACTTAAGCTTTAAAAGATGGACGAAAATTCAATGAAGGGCATGGATGAAAGAATTCTAGGCATGAGTAGAATGATGCAGTGGAATGAGCATTGACTCTGTCTAGAGTCAGGGGATCTGGGTTCAAATTCTTCCTCTGATGCTTGCTGCCTGTATGACCTTGAACAAATTAACCATCCTATGCCTCAGTTTCTTCCTTTGCAAAATGAGGAAGTTAGATTAGAAGGCCTCTGGGGTGTCTTTCAGTTTTAGATCTATGACGATATGATTGGTTATCCTCTTCTGGAAACTATCCATATTATCAATGTTCTTCTTAAAATGTGGATGGATGCGACCTGACCAGGCGAAGTACAGTGGTCCTTTTGCCTCCTTGTCCTTGCACATTATTCCCCTCTTAACAAAGCTCAAGATTCTATTAGCTGTCTCGACTGGAATATCACATAGGCATATCCATATTTTATTCCACTAAAATTTACAGACCCCCTTTCCGATCAAATGCTGTGCTCAGTGACATCTCCCATGTCTTGTACTTGTGAAGGTGAGTTTTCTGACACCCAGTGTGACTTTATCTCTATTCAATTTCTTCTTAAGATTCAGCCCAGATTCCACCTGTTCAAGCCTGTCAAGATCTTTTCGGATCCTGAGTATCTTCCAAAGTTTTCGCCATCTGTCCTGGTTTTATGATGTCTAGAAATCATTAATAGGCATTCCATCCATGCCTTTATTCAAGTGATAAATAGAAGAGGTCCAGGCCCAGCTTGCTGTGGTGCTCCACTGGAGACCTCCTTCCAATTTGACATGCCACAAACTATTAGTGACTGCTCTTTCACTCTGGACATACAGTCTACATCTCTCCATCCCCCCCCCCACAGGAACAGAGAGGAAGGGGAATGGGAAAAGGAATAAGCATTTATATAGCACCTACTATGTGCCAGGAATTGTGAGCATTGCTTTTTACATATATTATTTCATTTAATAGTAATAGCTACCATTTAGGTAGCATTTACTATGTGCCAGGCACTGTACTAAAGCTTTTGCAATTATTGGATCCTTACAACAACTCTGTGAGGTAGATGCTATTATTATCCCCATTTTACATCTGAGGAAACTGAGACAGATAGAGGTTAAGTGCCTTGTTCAGTCACACAACTAGAGAGTACCTCAGGCTGGACTTGAATTCAGGTCTTCCTGACTCTAGGTCCAGTGTTCTATTCACGGCACCACCTAACTGCATGAGAGACTTTATCAAATATTTTGCTAAAATCCAGGTTAAGTATATCTACTATATTCCCCTGAACTACCAATCTACTAGCACTGTCCAAACTGGAAATAAATTCAGCATGGTTTGATTTGTTCTACATGAAGTGATTCTGACTCTGTGATCACTCCCCCTTTTCTAGATCTTCACAAGGCATCCATTGATATGTTTGGGAATTTGTCTTGGAATCAATTTGAAGAGGTCTATAGTTTTCAGACTCCATTCTCTTCTGTTTTTCAATCATCAAGACATTTCCCCTTTTAAAATTCTTCTGTACTTTTCCCGTTTCTCCATGTTTTTCAAAGGCTCCTGACAGTAGCTCATTCATTACATCTTCCAGGTCTTTCAGTACTGAGGTGCATAGTGACTTGAATTTATCGAGGGAAGCTAGGTGCTCTCTTACTATCTTACTTATTATCCTGGGTATCAACACTCTCTTAGCCATTTTGTTCTGTCTTTTCCAATCCAAAGATCGTTCATCTTGGCAGAGAAAATAGAAGCAAGATAAGCATTGAGGAGCTCAGTCTTCTCTCTACCATTGCTTATCAGTGTCCAGTCTAAACTGAAGAGCAGTCCTATCCCTTCTTTGATCTTTGTCTTTACCCTACTATAGTTTAATATACTTCAACCTTTTTTTTTTTAATCTGTAGCTTTCCTCCAGTTTCAGCCCATTCTAAACTTGAGCATTTTGGATACGATTTTTGTGGGACTTTACTGTACTTTTGTGTACATCCTATCATTTACCCTTGTTTCTACATTATGTATGTCTTTTAAGAATTTAAGTTGTTGAATGATTTCCTTATATATCCATATTGCCTTCTTTAGACAACTCTCCCTTTACCTCTGCAACAGAATTCTTTCTCTTCATGTCTTCAGAACTATTTTTTGAGAGTTTCCCACCCCTCCTGAGCTAACTTTTACAGAATTTTGTTCTTTCTCTGAGTCCTTTAAAATCTACTTTCCTAAAATCTATGGCAGATATCTGATTATTTCTGGCTTTTCTCTCCTTCATCATAAATTCTTAAATAGAGTGATTATTCCCTCCCAATGTTTCTATCATTTCCAATAAATGTTTAACAATAGCCTCTCAAAAAAAAACACAGGACTCATTTTTAAAGTTTTTTTAAAGTTTTATTTATGTTTATGTATTTATTTTGTGAATTTATTTTATTTATTACATATTTATATTCTTGCATATATTATATACTTACATATATTTATTTATTTTTAAGTTTATTATGTATTCTTAACATTTTTCCATCACTTTTTTATGTCTAGATAACAAACAAAGCAATAAATTAATAAATAAATCAAGATCCAATTTGTAGTTTGCTGATTTCTGGGATGTAAACATTCGCACTGAAAATTTAACAGTCTCCTCTTTCATGAGGTCACATTGGGAATTGGCTCCTGCACACCCTGGATTTCCACCTAAGAAACCACTTCCTATTTGTCTGTGAGCATCTGATCCAGATTAGAATTTCTCCTTTGTTGGTTCTTCCACCTTTTGAAAGACACAGTTATCATTAAGGCAAGTAAAGAAATTATTAATTGCATAATTGAAGTCCCCTAATCTCCACCATATCATGGAGCTGCACCAGGCTTATAACCTATTTCTGAGACATTCCTCTTTCTGTCCATGTGGTCTGTAGTGTAAGTCAATGACAATATAGTTTCTATTTCTGCCTCCATTGATCTTTACCCAGTGTTTTCCACTGTACTTTCTCTTCACCCTACCATCATCCTCATTCTCCCACCACTAATAGAAACTCTCTCCTAAAACTACCAAATATTCATTTTGTGTGTGTATGTGTGTTTGTGTACGTATTATTTCCCCCATTGGAATGTAAGCTTCTTGAAGGAAGCTATTGTCTTGCTTTTGTATTTGTATTCAATCCAATAAACATTTATTGAGTACCAACTATGTTCCAGGTACCATGCTAAGCACTGGGGATACAATTAGTAAAAAAAAAAAAAGGACAGTTCTTGCTGTCAAGGAACTTACAATCTAATGCAGGAAGACAACACACAAAAGGATATGGAAAAAGGTATGGGAGGAAATGGGACCCCTCGGGGTACCCGGCATTGGGACATCTTATTGAAACCAGGTAGGGCAGCAGATGCAAAGCAACTAAAGATTACATTTTAACTCATGTCTAGATTCTCTCCCAAAGAAGGAGAGTAGTAAAGTACTGTATTTCACCACATAATCGTCCCACCCTGTATTTTTTTTTCCAGTCCAAAAATTGGTTTATAACTTTTCATTGCATAATTGTTGAATGGTATCATTCTATTTGTCACGCTGCTTAAAAGGTAAACAGAGCAGCAATGTGTTCACCAGTGGCATACGGACACATGCATTTCGAGCCTAGAATTCTTAGCCTCCCACACATTGTCTGTATTCAGTTTTAATGTATGTTCACAAGTATTCCGTGAATCCTAATCTTGCACCAAAGATAGTTTAGTAATAAATGATTTTTAAGTAATACCAGCACAATTTTTTTAAAAGAAGCTTCCCATAATGGTCACACCCCACTTTTTGCAAAAAATTTGGCATAAAATATGCGATGATTATGCAGTGAAACATAATATATACAATATGAATCAGGTATGGGACAGGTATTTATTTCATAAACACTAAAGTAATACTTGACACAAAACATTCTCACAAGTACACATTAATAAAAACTTAAACAAGAAGCAATATTATATTCTCCTAGGAGGTTGAGGCTTAGAACATTAGTACATGAAACAGTTGGGAGAGAATTGAATAAGCATTATTACATTTTCCCTTGACTCTGTACTGAGAGCCTTTTTTTTTTTTAACATCCAAGTCCATGTATTCTGGCTAGCCATGGAAGGGGTTGGGCTCCCTTCCCTGCTAGTGGTATTCTCTTCAAAGCAGCAACTCTCTTTGCCAATTATCTCTGACCCAGGGCTAGACAGGGATGAGGATAACAGTAAATAAAAGCCCTTCTAACTTTCACAGTATATGATTACATAATTCTAGGAGACAGGCTTGTAAAATCAGGGAGTGTATATGTTAGACCATCAAGGGTCCATTTAGGACTTTGATGGGAGCAAAAAATAGTGAAGAAGTAGAAAGATTTCTGGATTTGGAGTCAGAAGATATGGGTTCAAAACTTGGCTCTGCTACATTCAACCTGTGTGATTATGGACAAGTCACCTAAACCTTTCAAAATAAATTAGTTTTTAAAAAAATGAAGAAATGGGTGCCCTAAAAGGTTTAAGTCTATATTCCCTTTTGAGGTTCCACATGTGGGTTTGTTGACAATGTTGTCCTCTTCAGAATTTCTGCCTTGATCTTCACGCTTCACATAATAAGAATCTATGTACATTTCTTTTTGCTCATGATGTTTGCTTATTTCCTGGCCTTTAAAGAGATTGGGCTCTCCTGCTGGGGAGCAGAGGGCGCTGACCCAAGCTTCTTGTGTTGGGAGCCTAGGGCCTGGTCAAT